AGAAAATTCTCCGACGATCGTGCACGCGGCGCGCGCACACCTAATGGAATAGATATGAGCAAGCACTCGAAGAAGAACATATGCTTTCTTGTGGGACATTCTATACAGTAGATAATCCCCCTGTAATTGTAACATATCATGCCAGAATGAAGCTAGGGAAACTCTGAATGGGTTAGGCCTTTGGATGATATTTTATACTTAATTTGCTGTTAGCCATGGAAACTACTATTCAATATTAAGCTTAATAAATCTATTGCACATATACAGGGATGGAGCTCAGTAGTCCGAGACTACTTGCCTATGTGCTGTTTGTTTTTAAGGAAGAAAAATATTGAGGTCTAGTCATAAGGTCTGAAGTACGTGTTCAAATTAGAGGTGGCGCAGAGCTGTAGAGTTCAGATCTGGAAGTGAAATCAAATTTTCCTCAAGTCTGGTATGTTCAGATTCACTTTGTGGTTTGACCCTTTACTGAGAGAGGCCTAAGCCACAAAGTTCAACTCCAACCAGGGTTTGGGGGATTTGGTCTCCTTTGAGATCATCTCAAATTATAATGCTTCCCCAGGAAGGACTTCACTCCATTTGAAACAGCTCCCCCCCACGGAGCCTTTCCTCACACATAGAGCCACGTGATACATTCACATCGACCTGGAGACAGGGCCAGCTCTACCTTTTTTGCCACCCCAAGCGGCAAAGCAAAGAAAAAAAAAAGCGGCACAGCAGTGCCACCGAAGAAGAAAAAATGAAAAAGCTGCCACCAAACTGCAGCTGAAGAAGAAAAAAGAAAAAGTTGCCACCGAAGAAGGGGAAAAAGTCAGAGTGCCGCCCCAAGAATGGATGGAGTGCCGCCCTTTCAGATTTGCCGCCCCAGGCACCTGCTTCCTTAGCTGGTGCCTAGAGCCGGCCCTGCCTGGAGACTCAACTCAGACTGAATGTTGGGTTCAAAGCTAAGTGAATTTGTGAACCTCAGCTCATGTTTGCAAAAGCCTGACAAATACAGATGGAAAATATTTACACTTTGGAGATGCTGGCAAACTTCCCTCCACCCCACAGTAATCTCCTCTTCCCCTCCTGCCTGAAATTTCCTAAGGAGAAGTAGGAAGAGACTCTGTGATAGCAATAGGTGCAACTGAAGCTTGAGAGTTAAACCCGGTTGAATTTAAACCTCCAAGCAAAGCAGCAGGGGGTGCTTCACTTCCATCTGTGAATCAAACTGCAGGATTTGCATGGCATTAATCCCCAAACTCTTTCTAAACATTCCATACACACCTACCAAGTACTGAAATGGGATAAGAAAATGTACGGCAAAGAATGTGCCAAATGCTTGAATCAAGAGCCAAAGCCATAACTCAACATACTGAAGCATAAATACAATTGTGTGTGTAACCAGGGCCAGCCTTATGGGTGGGTGAATTCCCAGGGCACCCGTGGGCAGGGGACACCATGGTCAAGAGGCAAGGAGCGGGGCTGGCCTGGGGTGTGAGGCTGTGGAAGGGAGCTCAGGTCAATGTTGGGGTGGGGGTGGAGGCAGTGGTTCCTGGGGGCGATGGATGGGGAGACACCAGGAGCCAGGGGTGATCGGAGGATGGGGCCAGGGAAGGCTGTAGTGGTCAGGAGTACCAAAATACAAGTTCACCCAGGGTGCCATTTTCCCTAAGGCCAACCCTGTGTGTAACACTGAGCAAGGTGTGTGTGTGAGTGGGGATTGCTGATTAGCTGGGTTTAGTTTTTAAGAGTGAGAACATACATCTCCATGGCAGACAAGTTGTGGAGGTAGAAGGGCCTTGAGTCGGATCTCTTTTGCCATAAAAGAGATGGAGGTGTTAGCAGGGCCCCATGACGGTCTCTTGGCTATTGAACCCACCTCCCATACTTCGAGCCAATATAGCGCAAATGTTTTCACCTTCAAAGGGCCTCGCAAGATTTATCTTTTATAGATACCTTTGGGGAAAGAAGATATTGAGGGAGGGTGAGGTACTTCCCTTATTTCTCCTTTGCTGTACTGCTTAATAAGTTACTATCAGGTATTGTAGGTGATGGTGCTTTTGCCGTTAAGTCTGATTATGTACTGAGGGAAGGATTTACAGAACACTCAGCAGTGGCCTAACTCTGCTCCTATGGAAGTTTGTGTATCTAGGTTGCTTATAGTTTAAAATAAAGATCATTTTATTGTCTCTTCTTAGAAATCCAAACAAATAAAAATCAAATCAATATTAGTGCTCTGCTGAACTATGTGAACTTTCAGTGTCAATAGAGCTATAAGGAACGCTTGATAAAGGCTCTGGGCAAATAATATAACTCTTTATCTGTGACATCAAGGACAGGCTGCTCTTCTTGGTGATAAGAATACATGGATTGGCCCTCAGGAAAAAGGAGAAAGATGAGCCAGTGACGTGAAGCCCATGCCCCTCTATTTGTTGCATGGTCAATTTCAGGGCAAAGCAGTTGTGTTTAGGTTGAGGAACAAAAATTTCAGTAGTGTTAACTGTCCTATTCGAAACACAGAGATTTCAAGACATTATGAATCATTATGCGTAAATCAGTGGAGGTTCTCAGGGCTCTAAGAAAACTAGAGTGCTGGCAAAACCTGTAAAATAAATGCTATTATGCCATTTTCTTTAAAACTTTTAGAGTTGCCTCCATTTATTATTATGTTTTAAAAATGACTTTCATGTTCTCTTAAATTTCAGCCATTTTAAATCTATCGTTTTGCATTTTTTAAAAAGATTGTCTTTCCCCTGTAAATAGGTTAAAATTCCTGCTGATAATGGACACAAGATGTATTTATCCTATGTGAAATGTTGCCCTGTGAAGGTAGGGGTGGATCACATTCACAAGTTCTCTTGAAAATCAGATTTTGTATCAAAATAACATTTCTATCTGGAGCAGGAATGGCCTCTCTGAGCACTCTCAGCTGGGTTCCATGAAAAGGTTAAGTATTATCTAAGGTGAGTGTGACAGGATATACTCCCTCTTTGATACCTAGGATAAGGTTCTGGACTTGGACACTGTGATGGGCTATAATGGTTAAGAAGCAGGAAACACAAGAAGCTGCAGCCAATTAGCTTCACAGAAAACCAGCCAGCTGCATATAAAAGGAGGAGGATATCGGGGCTGGCTATTAAGAGTGACCGGAGAGCCAGAAAGCTTCAGTGAGAAGTACCAGTTTCTTGCAGAAGGGATCCTTCACAGCAAATGTGAGTTTGTTTAAATCTGAGACAAAGGAATTTAGAACTTCTGTTTGCCTTGATCTTGGGGAAAGGGCACTTTAAGGGGGCAAGGGCACAGGCTAAGCCCTACACCGAGGTCTTTCTATTTTCCCTTCATTCTCTACCTGGGATAGTTTTGTGGCTGGGGGAGTTCGGTTCTTTGTTTGTCTTGGTTCACTAATTACTCACCCACATTTCAAAATAAATACATAAAAAAGCATCTAATGGGGTACTTGTGGAGAGTCCTCTTGACTTCACTGAGGCTTTGTATGGTTGCAGGGAGTCAGTTCTAGTGGATTGAATGCAGGATCAAGATCTCACCCTGAATTTTTGGGTGCGAGTGGAGGAGCTAATGCTACATTCTGCTTCAGGTAAGTGCTTGCTGACCTATTTCCTCTGGAGGCCTTGATTCATTTTTGCTGCAGATCACAAGAGAAATCAACATAGTGGTTTAAAACTAGTCCCCAGCTGGTATTTAAGAACAATAAAGAAAACCTAGAGAGCTTTTTTCCTTTGGAAAAAGGAGGTAGGTCAGATTGAGGTGCATTGGTGGGAGCCATGTGGTGAACTTGCAGAGTACCTGTTGGCAATAACTAAGCATTTATTTGACTTTCTGTTCTATGAGGAACTGAATCCACTCAAACATTTTAGCCGCAATCTAGAATTAAACAATTTAGGTTTCCGAAAGTGTGAAAACATGACATAAGTGAGAGATGATATTTATGAAAACAGTGTCCTATTATTATAGCTCTCATGTACTTTATCAACGGAATGTTTATTTCCTCCTTATGCAATAGGACAGAATAACGTTTTCTCTATGTAATTAAGCTGTTCTTTGGAGATATTTTAAAAATTGGTAATTCCTCTTTGCCTGGTTGTTATCACTGCAACGTCTCAAGGCATAGGAAGGGGTGAGAAAATTATTTTAAGATGGATGCATAATTGTGACTAAATCCACCTGCTGAGAGTGCTAATTAAGTGAACTGGCTGGTACCTTTCCCAAGAAACTAACCTTGTCATCACCTCCACAGCTGCACCAGCTGGTTGGCTCAGTCCTAGCATTTTCACATCTGTCCAGATGGTATGAAGGAGGTACGGATAACCACATAACATGTGGAAATTATTTATGAGAACTTCCATTAAATGAATTTCATAAAACATTCCTAAGATGCCTTTAAGGGTTTTATTAAAACTGTCTGCATGTATAAACAAAATAGCAGCCACATTTTGCCTACTAAGAATTCTAAGCTCATGTTTTCTTCTGCAGCATCCTCCCCATCTCTTGCTGTCTGATTAACTGCTTTATCTGTCATAAATATTGAAGCACTGGTTTCTACATTCTAATGGTTGAACTCTCGTGTCTCTATCAGAAATCATGACATGCCAGAATTTTTCAAGCATTGCTCCTTAGCAGCTTTACCGACTCTACCTGCTTAATGACTGTGGTCTGGGAATTTAATAGCAAATCTTCTAACCATCTGAGCTTGAATAATGGCAATACCAATATCTAGAGTATGTAATGTATAGCACCTTTAAGTTCAAAACACTTTGGTTGCAAATTGATTTTTGCTTTATTTGTGGATTTTTGCTTTATTTATTTATCCCACAAATAAAGCAAAAATCAGTTTGCAACCACTATGTCTAGTTCTAAATTTCTGTATGTAGCAAAATGAAATGGCAGTTCTTACCTGCGGTAGCCATGTAGGAACACAAATATGAATGTAATGAACAAGCAAGGCCAAACTCTCTCATGCTAAAATCAACAGGCACTAAAATAAACAGAGCTACAGTGTGTATCTATCTAAAAAACATATATCATCCACCATTGAACTGTATCTGCCATTCCAGCAATACTACACAGGTCAAGAAGTGAAGATAAAACGGAAGCTGTAAGGAGGAAGTAGAGAGAGACTGAATATAATTAGCCAAACTGAACACTAGCTTAAAAAGTCCTTTAGAATACTAAGGGCCAGGTGTTCAAAGGAATCACAACCTGGCCTTTGTTTGTGTGCACTTCAACTTTGCATGCGCAGTCACTGGCTTGTGCATCTATTTGTGCCTTTTCATTTATCTACACAAATGAGAAAGTACAGTCAAAACACACTAAGGCCTAATCTGTATGCACAATAGGCCTCGTGTTAATCTTTTCATTTCTATGCACAAGGGATAGTGTGAAGAAATGTGCTTGTGTAAGTTGTGACCATAAAGTTGTTTGTGGTCACATAGAAGCCACAATTTTAAAAATCACTGCGGACTCGGGAACTCAGTTTTAGATTTCATTTTAAAGCCAGCACCATCAACAGCACAGTATCTCAGCACCATGTGGGGACACTTGTTCAGTACACTAGCACCTACCAAAATCTGCAATATGATTTCTTGTAGACACCTAGGCTTTCCTCGGAGGTGTATAATCCACATACCTACTCAGCCTGATCTTGTTTTTTTTCTTTTCCTGTGATTTTGTGAGATCTCATATCCTGAGGAGGCCTGCTGCAGGCAGCATTATAACGCCAGTTAATGTAATAAGATTTGCTAATACTTGTGTACTATCAATTCCCACTGAGGCAATTGAAATCATGATGAAGGCCCCAGTAATTGCTAATAAGAATGTTTTAATTTAAATGACATATAATATTAAGCACTTTAGTATGTCTCATTGGAAACATAATAGTTGTGTCCCTCCCTTTTATCTTCTGATTTCTATCTTTCCTAGTGTGTATCCCAAAGCTTTGCATTAAAGTGAAATTATTTGTTCCTCTTGTGAAAGTGAGCCTTCTGATGCACATCTGATAAAGCCATCAAAATCCCTGTTATTATGTGCTATGATAGCCTGGAGGAATATTTTATTAGAGTATTTACCTAGTCACACTGACAAGCTAAGAGATATTATCTGCCTCAGGAGGCTAAATGGAGGACTTGAGGGATAAAAAAGGTCTATTGTTATTACGTACATAATCTTGTGATTGAAAATATCACTAGGGATTTGGGAAGCTCCATGGATATATGAAGTGAGGCAGCAGTAAATGCAAATTACTTTGGTTTACCGATACTAATATAATTACTGTATCTAGCTAAACCAACACTTCAAAATAAACCAGGATATATTCTAAACACAGTGTGAATAAATTCTCACTTACAATGGACATTCCTTTGTTTATACTTCAGAAAAGAAGTTAAGTCTCAATAATAAGGTGTCTATTTAGACCAGGGGTCGGCAACCTCTGGCACGCGGCTCGCCAGGGTAAGCACCATGGCGGGTCAGGCCGGTTTGTTTACCTGCCATGTCCGCAGGTTCGGCTGATGGCGGCTCCCGGTGGTTGCGGTTCGCTGCTCCAGGCCAATGGGGGCTGCGGGAAGCGACGCGGGCTGAGGGATGTGCTGGCCGCGGCTTCCTGACGCCCCCATTGGCCTGGAGTGGCAAACTGTGGCCAGTGGGAGCCGCAATCGGACGAACCTGCGGACGCGACAGGTAAACAAACTGGCTCGGCCCGTCAGGGTGCTTACCCTGGGGAGCCGCGTGCCAAAGGTTGCTGATCCCTAATTTAGACCATAATACAGAAAGTTCTGTACTGATGGGCTGTGGAAAGATCACAAACTTTCCTTTTCGTCTTGAGCTAAATGCAGCATGGCCTTAGAGAAGCAGTTACTCATATTCAAGTACTGTAGCAGAAGCCTTCTATAGTTCACTGAATCCAACAGCAGCCGATGAAGCTGCAGTTCATGTTATCCAACATGTTTACTGTTTCACTGACCGTGACATCCTGTAAGAACACTGACCTGCCTGAAATATCCTGCATCAAGTAAGCCAAATATCAAACCTGCAAACCCAGCTCCATGTGAAAAAAGAGGAGTTGCTGTTTCATTGTGTTAAACTTTAGATCTACTCGCTGTTAGATTTTTAAATATATATTAATTTTTCTTTCTAAAAAAGAAAAAAAAATCATTAAATTTTGTAGGGCCACTGTGGATGATAACTGGTGAAATGTACCTGAATAAGAAACTGTTAAAAAGCATTATTAAAACAGTGGGCTGATTCTCCACTCCTTTACTCAAATTTTACAGCAACTTAACTAGCATAAATCTGGTATAACAAGCCCCAAACATTCATATGACATGTTGAACAATATGTTGCTTTAAGGAAGTGTCACTTATCTCATAGGTGGTAGCACAGTTGTTATGGTAACTTCCCCTCCCCCTTCTATTCGATATGGCAAGCAGGTGCACCAAAAATACCCCAGCTTATATCAAACCTGCCCCGTGGCTGTGATTGTATGGAGACTGAGATTAAAAACTTTTTTTTAATTTCACTTTTGATTCTGGAAATTGAGATTGTGACAAGATGTATTAATGCAAACTGGGACAAAAATATGGGGAAATATTGTTTTACGCTATGCAGTATATAATTGACGCTCATCTCTCTCATACATATATTTAAGTGCTGTATTGAGAGCCTTGAAAAGAGAAATCTTTTCCACATAACACATTCAGCATGGGTAATAGCAGTGTAAGCTTCTCTTATGGCATCATCAGTTCTAGGGAAATATATTTGACATATTTCACTCTCCCTAATACACCTCTACCTCGATATAACGCGGCCCGATATAACACGAATTCGGATATAACGCAGTAAAGCAGTGCTCTGAGGGTAAGATTATAACGCGGTAAGATTTTTTGGCTCCCAAGAACAGCGTTATATCAAGGTAGAGGTGTATTCATTTTTTATGGCCTTTCTGATGAGGTTATCATCAAATGTGCAAATTGTGGTGATGTTTTTGTGACATGGATTAAGACCTAGTTTGAGACCATCAATTACTTTCCCAAATTTTAGTTCTCAGAACTGGCAATATATTTCCTTAGCCCTTTCTGTTACTCCATTAGGTCAGACTTGATAAGAAACCTACCATACAGGTGAAAATCCCCATATCTAGATAAAGTATTTATCTGGCCCCCATTACCATAGTATTTGAGCATCTCACAATCTTTAATAGATTTATGTTCACATCCCTGTAGTAGGAAAGTATTATCCCCATTTTACAGATGAGGCACAGGGTAGAGTGACTTGCCCCAGGTCACAGAGGGAGTTTTTACTAGCGCAGGGAATTGAACCCAGATCTTGTAAGTCCCAGGCTAGCATCCTAATTCCTAGGCCATCCTTCCTGTATAAAACCTCAGAGTCATCCAGGCTGCCTCCATTTCTTTAGTTTATTAGAGCAATGCTTATAGACATAGTAGCTATTTCCAATGCTGTTTTCGTTTTAAAAAATTATAGTTTACATAAAGCAATCTACAGTGGATTAAAAAGCCACCTGCTGCAATGTTGAGAAATGTCTGTGGCTTCTTGTTCATGGTAGGAATAATAGAAAATACAAACCAACATCAAACACAAATCAAATGAAAGCTTAAATGAATGAGCCTTGCACTTGACCTGAAACTCTCTGGACTCTCACTCAGCGAAATCACCAAGTGGAGCAAATTCCAAAGGCAAAAGCCATAAAGTGAGAGCATTGCGCCTGGTTCTGGAGTGTTCAAACATGGATACCAACAGCAAAAGCCTCCTAGCCCACCATAGATTCATAGATTTAAAGACCAGAAGAGACCACTGTGATCATCTAATGTGCTCTCCTGTATAACACAGGCCATAAAACCTCCCCACAATAATTCCTAGAGCATAGCTTTTAGAAAAACAGCCAATCTTAATTGCACAACTATAGGGTGATGGACAGCCTTTCAGATAACCAGGTCTCAGACACATCATCATCAATACTTTGAATTGTAGCAAGAAGCTAAGGCAGAGACTTCAGTAGAAGTTCACTTCAGTAGAAGATGGGAGGTTGCATCCTGCACTAGTTGAAACTTCTAGGTGGACTTCAAGGGTAATGCTTTTGTAGGGTACATTACAGTAGTCTTGCTGAAGGTAACAAAGGTGGATGACTTTTTTCAAAGTCAGCATTAGAGAGGAATTGTTATGGTTTCCTGCCACCCATGAATGATGTAAGATGCCCGATGTGCAGAGCCCAGACTGGAACAGATACCATAAAAAAAAAAAGGAGAAGGACACAGAGGAATTGATTGAGAAGAGGGTAGGAGAATAAGCAGCCGGGAAGCAAAGCATGTAGTGGGAGAATTCAAAGGTGGCACTCCTGGGAGGAAATTAGAAAAAAGTACAGATGATACAAGTAAAGGGACAAGGTTGGTAGATGGTG